TGCTGGAAGGCGTCAAGTCTGCTCTGTACGCGGCCAAAGGAACCAGCTCTGGCGGCATTTCAAAACCAGAGGTCATAGCGGCGGGATCGGAATACGGGGGCTTCACTGCCGAAACGAAGACCAACGGACTGAAGGCGCTCGGCCGGGTGTACTCCGGATGGGGCTTTAGTCAGCCTTTCTACCGTGAGAAGCTATACGAGAAAGCACTTGGTTTCAAAGACATTGACGACTTCATGGTGAACTTCTGGGAAGCCTGGGCGTGCTCGAAGGATCCGGAGAACATGTTGGTGATGGCGCACACCTGGCAGGCGGCCGACTGCTCGGCCCAGGAACCGTACAACGGCGACTTCAAGAAGGCGATGGAGGGAATCAAGGCAAAGGCGCTCGTTCTACCTTCGCAGACTGATCTCTACTTCCCACCGGAGGATTCGGAGATAGAGGTGCAAGCTATGCGACCGGGAGTCGGGGAGCTGAGGGTAATACCGAGCATATGGGGACATTGGGCCGGCGGGCCAGGAGACAGCAAAGACGACGTGAAGTGGCTGGATGAGCGTCTGGGCGAGTTCTTCTCGACGTAAAGTAGGCTTGCGCTATTATTACATATGCTTGATCGACATACAATACATAGCAATCTATTACTAGACTGGACGCGAGTTCCTGCGCGCCATTGTCGCTATGTGCGGGAGTTGACGAGCTACCCTTGTCGCGTGCTGTGGCTGGTGCAGGTCACGTGCCGAAACTTTCGCGTTTCCTGTGAAAGGCAGCGACTTTGATGTCTTCCACCACAGTTCACTCCGCTGCCGGTCGCGTCGCCATGTGGGAGCTATAGATCAAACAGGCCTTTCTAAGCAACCCACGATAACCTCTCCGACACTCCCGCCCGCCCTGCAACCCAGCGTGCCAGCCTGCGTGTGTAGACCTCCGCAGCACTCCCGAGTCCGCAACCGCACTGCAACGGCGGCGCATCAACATGGAGGAACAACCGCAGAAGCAATGGGGCACCACCAAGCCCATCAGCACCACGCTGCCGACCACGGCCGAGCTGAAGCTGACCGATGAGCTCGTCTCCTGTCTGAAGGCGCGCGACAACTTCGAGACCCCCGAAGGCATCCAGAAGCGGTACGTCGCCAGCTAAACCATTCCTCCCCCCATCGCCCATCGCGCCGCTGACACGCTGCAGGAAGGAGGTGCTCGCACACGTGACCAATGTCACCAAGGAGTTCATCACGCGCGTCGGCCGCCGCCAGAAGCTGTCCGAGGAGGCCATCTCCAAGCTGGGCGGAAAGGTGGTCACGTTTGGCAGCTTCGCCCTCGGCGTGTACGGGCCCTCGTCCGATATCGACACCTGCATCGTTGCGCCGCGCAATGTCAGGCGCGAAGACTTCTTCGACATCTGGCCGCAACTGTTCCGCGACATGTCGGACAAGTCGCAGATCTCCGAGCTCGTCGAAGTCCCCGAAGCCCACGTTCCGATCGTCAAGATGGCCTACCGCGGCATCAGCCTGGATTTGATATTCGGCTCGCTGCCGTCGCAACCCTCCATCCCCGAAGATCTCGATCTCTCCAACGTGTCCATACTGCGTGGCCTGGACGACGTCGGCGGCCGCACCGTCAACGGCCCTCGCGTGGTCAAGGAGCTGCTGGCTTTGGTGCCCGAACACAAGTCGTTTCGGTATGCCTTGCGCACAATCAAGCTGTGGTCCAACCAGCGTGGCATATACGGCGCCGTTTTCGGCTACCCAGGAGGCATTGCGTGGGCTATCATGGTTGCTCGCATCGCCCAGCTGTTCCCCAACGCCTGTGGCGCCACCATCGTATGCAAGTTCTTCAACCTGATGAAGTCTTGGACATTCCCGCGCCCCGTCATGCTGAAAGACGTCAGCAAGACCAACCCACTGGGCCTTCCCGAGTGGAACCCGACTCAGAACCGCAACGACCGCGCCCATCTCATGCCCGTCATCACCCCGGCCTACCCTGCCATGTGTTCCACCCACTTGATCACAAAGACGACGAAAGAAGTCATCATGGCTGAATTCGAGCGTGGCGTCGACATTGTTACGAGGATCCAAGACGGTTCAGCCACGTGGGATGCATTGTTTGAAAGGCACACCTTCTTTACAAAGGACCACAAGTTCTATCTAAGTGTCGTCGCCACCAGCTTGACAAAGGATGCGGACGAAAAGTTCAAGGGCTGGGTCCAGTCCAAGATCAGCAAACTCGCAAAAGGCATCGAGGAGAGCGACTTTGACCTCAAGCGGAAGGCCCGCCCGTATATGAAGGCATTCGATCGTGCGCACCGCTGCGCCAACCAGGAACAGATCGAACGCGTCAAGCAAGGGGTTATGGATTACTGGATCAGGAAGGCCGATCTTCCCGAAAGCGGCGAACCGTCGACCGAAGATGGTTCAACTATCATCTATACCTCCACTTTCTACATTGGTCTAACAGTACCAGAGGGTATGTATCTGCCATGCTTATAGTTATACGTATTGCTGACTCGTCTAGGATCTCGGTCGTTTGACATTTCCCACCCTGCAACCACTTTCAAAGAGATTGTCGAGAGCAATGAGGTTAACAAGGCCTTTGATCGTGAGAAGATGTTCTGCCGCATCATCCACACCAAAGAGTAAGTCCTCGACATCAGTCCACAAGTGCTTCGCTAACAAGTCAAGTGTGAACCTTCCCGATGATGTCTTTGTCGAAGGAGAAGCCAAGCCGACTAAGCCCCCCAAGGACAAAGAGAGGAAGAAGAAGAAAGGCAGGACTAATGGCGATTCCAAGTCTCGCAAGCGTCACATTGACGAGACAGAGCCAGAAGTGCGTAATTCGCGTCCTGTCAAAGCTTTACAACAATCTTACCCACGCCATGAGGCGTCTGCATGCTCTCATACTGACTCTGTGCTAATCTAGGACAGCTTGAAACCCCACAAGAAGCGTGGCTCAGGCATTGCGTTGGCCACAACTTAGAGCAGCATTCCCACATGGGTTCTCTCACATCCCAGCTTGAGCAACTGCAAGCTCACCAACCTCCTTCCTTTGTTGACAACTGCGCGGCTCCGGGATTCCTCAGGTCGGTCTCTTTTCAATCCCGACTCCACCACAGCGCGATAAAATCACGAATATCGACAGCCAGGCCACCCTGACGATAACCTCGTGTACACACCCTCATCTTAATGGCCATAAACTGGCCGCGCCAGTATTGCCCGGCCGAGCTCCAAAATCACAAAACAGAAAAAAATCTGGAAAAGGGCAGCTTGATCGCGCCATCGAAACCTTTGGACGGGGACGGAAAAAGACGACAAAAAACTCGGCATCGACCCGAAACCATTCTAATACGATTTCACCTTCGGTATCGGGTTCTTCTAGGGACGGACTGGGTCATAGGGTGGCGTTTTTGGTTGGCATTTACCTCATTTTGAGAGGACCAGTATGCATTGGGTGTGGAGTGAAAAGGCATGGCGTTCTTCCAAGTGGTTGGACCAAATCGAAATACCTTTCTTTGCAGCATGGGCTGGTAGAGCGTGGGGCTCTTGGATGATTGGGAGGGTACCGCAGCGGAAAGCCCTGGATTGGAGGTAGTTCGTGTATAAATATCCGCGTTGGTAAAGAATCTATTACATTTGACATTGCGATCTCTTCACGTCTGTCTCGAACTGAATTTGCCAGCAAGTCACCGTTTCCACAGCTCCACGCTAACATTCCCCTAACCCTGCTTCGCCATCTCCTCCAACATGGGCTTCGCAGGCATGGTAGCAAATCGACTCATAATCTCCAAATTCTTCTCCTTGCTCATCTTCACATCCCCCTTACTCACCTCGGCCATCATCTTGAAATAATCGATATAAAACGCCGGCGTAAACGTGTTGAAGAACTTGGCCTCGGTATCAAAGGGGTTGGAAAACGTGTGCGGGGCGCGCGTGGGTACCGTCACGTAGTCGCCGGCTTTCGCGTCGATGTGGGTGTTGTCCGGGGCGTGGAAGCGGATGGTGCCTTGGGTGACGAGGAAGGTTTCGTCGTGCATTTCGTGCCAGTGCGCTGGGGGGCCGGCGGTGGAGGCCGGAACGGTGAATTCGGCGGAGCCTATGCGGTTGTCTGGAGTTTATGTTAGGTGGTGGTGGTGGTGGTGCTGTGTTAACAGGTTATAGGGATTGGGAGTGGAAAGTGGAGTGGATGGGAAATATGGTGTACCTGTTCGCGACCCGTCTTCCATTATTCGACATGTGATGTGGCCGAGCTCGAGTATCTCGCCTTCTTTTGCGGGAACGAAGTTTATGGGTCGACGCGGCATTGCCATGCTGGCGAGGGCTTGTCGGGCTTCGTCATCCATGGTGCCTTTAAACTACTTGTACCGTAAGGAAGCTGCTTGGGGACCGGATAGTCGAGGGATGAAGGAGAGATAGATATGCAGAGAGAGCCTGGGGACAGAGGATGCAAGAATTGAGGATGACGGCATAAGCTTGAGCTTGGGACAGAAGAAATATGTATGCGTTGTTGCGATCATTGCGGAGAGCCGGTGGTACAAGGAAGCTTCGAAGGGGATACCGTTATTCCTGAATGCGATACACTAACATTAGATTGAAATCTGAGTGACAATCTTCATTAATAGACTCCATCTATGGATCTACATTTCGACTTCATGGGCCAATCGCACTGGAAACAATGCGTCGACGTTCATCGCAAGTACCTACCGGCCCCTCATCGTACCGCGGGGAAACAGCAGTGCTACCGTGCCACTACAACTAGCTGGGTTTGGCTGCATGATCTAAGCTGTCAGATTGTATAAATATCCATTGCCTTAAAAGCTCTGGCAAATGAGAAGGGGAGCGCAATCGCATAGATGCATCAGAAACAGAAATGAAAAAAAAGAAACTCCCGGGTTCTCGACTGCGTTGTTGAATCAATACAACGCCAACTTCCTCCATCGTCCCTTCCGTCTCACCCCAGAAAAACAGACAATGTGGCAGGCATCCCACAAGCAAAAAAAAGGCAAAAAAGAATGACTCTCCGACGGGGAATCGAACCCCGGTCTCCCGCGCTCGCCAATTATTGGTTGACAAGCGGAAATCATGACCACTAGACCATCGAAGATGAATCGCTGTGAAGCGGATGGTGTTGACTGATGAAGTTTTGAGGCTTTAAATCTATTATATACAGCAACAAAACGCATTGCAAGGAATCTAACAAGTGCGGTGGAGTCGCATGGAAAAGATAGTGGGAGGTATTTCAACAGTCTTGTGTGCCGTGGTGGGGCATCATTAGCGGTACTACCCTTAGCCCTATGATACCTAGCCCAATACGAGCGCATAATTTTAGATCGTATACAGTAAACTTTCAAGCTACTTGTTACATTGTCTGCATAGCCTTCAAATACACAATGGACTTATTACTCAGTGTTCAAGGGCGGTACCTCAAGACTAAGAAGCGGAAGTAGTGATAGAAGAGAATTGTGGCGGGCATTGAACTCGAGTTCAATTGTCTATACCATGGTAATGTTTGCTGCCAGAAGCATGAGAAGCGTCGAGTCGTGATCTCTAAAGTCAGAATTTGGTTATGGTTTTTCGCTGTATCGTACGCTGTCTTTGCGACAAACGTCGTCTCAATGGATTTCTCTTATCCAAGTAGTTGTTGAAGTGAGCTTAGGTCGTCCCAATATAGGTCCTGTTTCAACGTTTTGGAAATGACGCATCTGATACGAATTGATAGAGACACAAGAGAAGTAAATGTGCCGAAAACGTAGGCATGATGTTAACGACATTGATCTTATTTTACATACAGCCGGCAATCGCTGAGAGACACGATCTATTTCTGATGTGACTTCGTCGAGCGGTCAGGCAAATTAAGTATACAGCTAGGATCGTACACCTTTCCGATGTGAACGCCATTTCGATGCAAATACGTACTCCGTTTCCAATCCTTTTGTCCCAATGCAACCCTAATTGAGGTCAGACGACCATTTTTTATTCGTATCCTACAGGTCTTTCTTTTACGCAAATATCCTACTTCGATCCACGCGCTTGTTTCCAGATTTCTTCCTTGGTCATCGTACGCAAAGGCTGGACAGACTGGGTTCCAGAATACTCCACGCCGCAAGAACCCCGATCAAGAGCGAGTGAGTTGAGGCCCCAGTGGAGTTGCTCCGACGCGTCATTCGGCAAGCTGATTCGGTGTCGATGCTGAGCTTGCTCGTAGTTTCCCGTGTCCTCATTTGAAGTCATGAGCGAGAGAGACAATGAGTCTAGCTCGTTTGCAAAATCCGCCTGCTCTTTACTCATCTCGAGCGCCGAGGAGACGTTGGTCGATCGTGTGTTTGCTCGCAACTGTAGCTCGTACGTTGTGCGATCCTTGGCGAGCTCCTTCTCTAGTTGCCGGCGCTCGTCATACCACATGTTGTACTGTTCCCGCGTCATTTGGCCCATAGACGGGTAAAGAGCGTTGTGGTTTGCTTCACGAGCGTTCCATATGTTTGCGCACTCGTTTTCGACGCACTCGTTACAGTAGAAAGGAATTTGAGAGATCAACCCGTGAGGTTCTAGGCAATTTGGTCCGCAGTCTTCTACAAGATCCGTCCGGATACGATGAGAGCAAGTAAGTTGATGGTATAGGCGTCCCCGGCACGGCGTGAGTCGTCTTGCCCGAGTATCTTCCAGAGATGCAGTGAGAGGCGGACACACCAGTGAGGGAGCAGGGGCAGGTGTCGAGGCCGAAGTTCCGTCGTCAGTCCCAGCAGCCCAACCGAATCGGCAAGCCTGCACTAGTTTTGCGTGGCTCATAGTGTCGCTAGAGATTGTAGGAGATGACCTCGTTTGGAATACATTATTGGAGAAGTCCATCTTGATAGCGAGCGGCGTAAATGATGAGTGGCGTCAGCTGGTGTGGCGCGTTGCTGCCTGTTGCGGGAGAGAGGATACGATTGCGCGTGGTAAATGTTGTAGTTGCTAGACAGTTGAGGAAGGATGGGGCGGCGTTTTGTTTGCACAAGTTGATCAGTCTTGGTTCCGTGAATGCATTGTACGTGCGCGGTAGGTTGTGTAATACTATATGCTGCCAAGACCAGATTCTTTGTGGGCGTTGACAGGCGAAATGATCATGGTCAGGTGAAGCGATAGTCGTATTTTACCCGCAGTGACAATAAGTGCAGATGGAGAAGTGAAGCAGATGTTGGCTAGGGTGTGGTGGATGCTGTTGAGGGAAGGATGTTGAGTGACGCGCGGACCTTGAAACTGAGCAGGGTCTCAAGGCGCTAACCTAAATAGGAGCAGCGTTACGTCACGTGGAAGATTCGAGAGCGCGGCGCGGGCTTTATACTGCTCGGATCAAATTACACACTCTTTATGCTGATGCGGGTATCTTACGCAGTATAATGCGTTGACCATTATGCTAGCATATGTGTGTGAAGACCTATGCGTGACTCTTAACGGAGAAGCTCAACAGCCAGTGATGAATTCAGCACTTGATCAAGATCTATTACTAGCATTTACTTACTGCTCCCTTATAAGAATCTGCGGTTTATAATACTGTTGAAGTGTCGAGGCCGTATTGAACCTAGGCAACTCAGCACTACAGGACGCCCCACCTTCAGGCCTGTCGCAATTCGTACGATGAGAACAAAGAGATAAAAGATGTTGGAGTCTCAGCTACCCGCGAAGTATTTGTATTTGAAAAACCTATAATGTCTCAGCCCTGAGTAATTGGGTTTTAGTCTAACTACTACAGTAAGCTACGTAGATATTAGTCTTAAGCTATGATAAATGCATGACGATTTAAGTAGAGGCATGAGCAGAAAGCTTAAAGGGTTGGTAGAGTTCAGGGAGTAGTTCTTCTACCTTAAGCTAGACTTAAAACACTAAGCATATGATCCTTAGATAGGACCGACTCGATATATACTACATATCCATCTGTGCTTCTGCCAGTTAAAAGCATAGATAGACCCCACGTCCACGGAAAACCCTTTATAGATAGATGGATTAGATAGAACATTGCGGCTGGAGACCTACTTAGTGCTAACTTCCATAGGGCTAGCATAATTAAAAGCGCAGAAGAATAAATAGATAAAGTTTATTCCATAGCTTTACACTAATACTAGTCTAATAGTATATTAGTAGCTATACTAATTAGAGCTAACTGCTCACTACTTTGAATCCTCTATTTGATTCCAGAGGCTATAGAGTCCATTATCCATGTAGAGTCGTGGAGGAAATCCATCCATGCTATTCTCTGGCTTCTGCTATAACCCGCTCTCGTGCAAATTGGGCACACATAGTGCTCCTATGCCGAATTGATTCGCCATACTGAATGAAAGCAAATGGCACCACCCCTAATGCTAGACTTAAAAATCCTAGCAAGCCCATTCCCCATTTTACTCCCAGCCGATCATACATAGCCGACGCGGCGAGCGGAAGCAGCGCGCCAAACACACTCCGCGTGCAACTTGCCGCCGCAGCCGCACTGGCAGCATAGTCGTGATATGCATCAGTCATGTAGTTTAGCAACGCAATAAAGATAAGCACGAAGCCAGCACCAAAGGGAACACCTGAGAGCATAGGTGCAATCCATGGGATGTGCGGAGAGGCTGACCAGCCGAGCCAGAATATGGAGATGACATAGCAGATGGAGCCGAGACAGGCGAGTGGAAGACGCTCGTATTCTTTAATGCTGGCAAAGCGGTGGCCGAGGTTTTGTGCATGGCGGAAGTAGACGTCCCAGCCCAATGAGATAAAGAAGGCGAGAATCGAGCCGACGGCGACTGTGTGCGAGGGTTATCAGAAAGAAAGAATGTGGAAAATGTGAGTGGAATACATACTGGGAATGAAGGCAAGACCGGCGCCGATATAATTCATGTGGTAGATGTCTCGGAAGATGAATGGATATGCTTCGAACAGCAAAACTATATACATGTCAGCTATCATCCTCTATAATTCCTTGTTGCATACATACAGTATATAGCACTAGCAAACGCTAGGTATAAACTACTTAGCAGAACGATTGGCTCTCCAAACAACATCCGAATTGGTCTTGCCAGCGTCACCGTCATCATTTCCTTCGCACCGCGTCTCTGCAGCTCAATCGGCGCGTAGATGCGGCGCCCGGGGGTCTCTTTGCGCAGCTTGAACGCACGGTTCCGTAGGATCACTGGCTTGAATGTCTCTGGGAGAAATAACACGGGTATAAAAGAAACCCCCAGGATGATGAAACCAACCCAAAAAGTCCAGCGCCAATTGATGGGTGACAGAGCGCCTGACACTAGAGGAGCCAGTTGAGGACCGAAGGAGGTAGCCTTACAAGCATCAGTCCACAGCAGCGCGACTTGCACGCACAACTTACCGCAATGTAAAAAGCAATCGCACGCCCTCTCACAACCGAATCTTGAAAGATATCTGCATAAATCCCACTTGTAATCGCAATAGAGCTGGATGCATTGATTCCGCAGATCAGTCTGAATACTAGAAATGCCTCCCAGTTTGGCGAGAGCGCACAAGCGAGAGTGAAAAGCGTGAACAAAGCGAAACTGGGGACCATGATAATGCGGCGGCCGTATATCTCGCTAAGCGGTGAGAAGAGCAAAGGACCAAGAATGTAACCGATCAGGTAGATAGAGATGGGCAGCGCATGTTGTACACGGTCGGTCACGCCGAAGTCAGAGACGATAAAGTCAATGGCGCCGCTGGGGAGAGATGAATCGAAGGTGCTGTTGAGGATCGCGATTATGCCGACGAAAACGATGAAACTTTTCTTGCGCTGGGGCGGGTGTTAGAGTTGAAGAGAGTGGAATGAGGTGTGACGGACATATGACCAATTGAATGGGTTGTGGGCGTCGTCTAAAGTGAAGGCGGCGATTTCGTGCGGTCCAGCCATTGGCGTGAAGTCATTTGAGATGCGCTTCTTGACGACGCCGATAGATTCATCGGCGGTGGGAATTTCTTTGTTAGCCATGACAGCATTGTCGCATCGATGAGCGGGACTTTTTTTTTCAAGTGAAAGATTTATGGTGCGCAACGAACGATGCAAAGACTTTAGATTATATAAGATTACCAATACATTATCTATGGATCCAACATTCACATCTGCATTCACACCTGCGCCGCAACGCT